AGTTTCATAAGTGGGAACTATTTGAAAATGTTTGCTATGATGGTGAGTGACCATCAGACAATATGAGAGATTAATTAAGGTGAAAATCTCTAGGAATCTGAATTCAAAGTATTGCTTATCTAAAGGCCATAGTGTCAAAACATTATAATTCTTTAGCTGATAAATTGCCTCATATTAAGATAAAATATCTTCCTAGTGTATCTGAATTCTCTTTTCAATTAGTAATAAATAAAATATCATTACAAAATTTTTTCAGACTTATTTTTAACTCATTTTTAACCGTAAATTTAATGTTTTTTTGCGTGAAAAAAACCCTGAAAAGATATCAAAACTTACACTATGGATTGTAGCTGATTGATATTTAGTAGACTTCATAAACACTTACATTGTTTTCTCACCCAAACAATTCATAAGATCTTCATACTGTTTTTGTTTAATGTAGTCGCATAACATAGTGTTAAATATTTTTGATAACATCAAGTTTTCTAAGTTAGATGGTTTAATTACAAAGCTTTCGTCGTCATTGTCGATAACATCATCAACGCTTAATTTAAGTAGGAGATTCATAGGTCGATAAAGTTCTATCTGCGTTTTAGCTTATTACAGCATAAAAAGTAAATTCTAAAGTTTAGTAGCAAAAATCATATTGTTATATTTTCAGTCATTACGCTAACAAATTTATTATAAAAACCATATTTAAACATACAGGAAATCAATAAACCATCCAATATTTTATACTACAAATGCTGATAAATTTACATGGTCCGATACCGCAACATCCAAGATGAAATGTAGAAGTCTGAAGCATTGAACTTGTCTACTACGACGAGAATTGTCTAATTCCATAATTAGTAAAACAACATAATGAAACATCTTAAAAATGGGATTAAAAAAAATCAATTTGGTATTGAACAATGAAATTGGCTTGTAGTCATTATGTTTGTGATCTCTTGACATGATCCTGATAGAATGGGTCAATCAGGTATCAACCAAGTGATAAGCGCACACACATGGCAAAGATTTGGATTCCTTTTCTAAAGAACTAGACTTACAACAAAGGCTAGATATGTAGCTTTGATTTTATATATATATATATATATATATATATATATATATATATATATATATATATATATATATATATATATATATATATATATATATGAGTGTAAATGTATCTCTCGGTTCGCTTTAGCCAATAGAGATTCCTCATCAACTTAGGTCTTGACATTCAAGTAGCCGATTAGACTTTTATATTGAAAGCTTGTATATTCGTATCGAAATCCAACAACTCACGACATAGCTGATTTATATACCCTAAATAAACTGATAGTTTATGGTAGTATTAATGTTTAGTTAAGTAAATACACAAAAATGCACATTCTCTAAACAAAATCAATTACTTATATAAACTTTCTTTAATTAATTAAATCATAAGAAATACAAATAAGATTGTTCTATGAAACTATTCATAGATGTAAATGATTATTAACAATAAATCCTAAGAAATAATCGTACTAGAATGTTTTTCTCCACTAATTTTAATAATCAAATAATTATAAAAGTATATTTCAATGGTTGAAATGATGAGTCAGTTGAAGCTAGACCACCATGGGAAACCTGGAAGCACTGGACGGCCGTTTCAACCTATTGTGGGACTCCTCAGCAGTGCACATCCACGACCTCGCCCTTGCGAGATTCGGACCCAGGACCTGGTTTCGCGCGCGATCTCTTAACTACTAGACCACTGAGTCGGCATCCAACGGTGTCCAGGAAATTGAGCGACACATCCACCATTCCAAAGTATATTTCAAATTTTTCTTATGATTTAATTAAATTTAATCTAGTTCAATCAATTCAAATAATTTTGGTCGAAAACACCGTCATGTATGAAGATGTGATAGAACTATGATTATATTAAAACTAAACACGTTAATCATGTTTTTAATTCAAGACACATATGACAATGTAATTGTCTTTTTTATTTCTCTTTTTTCAAATCATTTATGTTTAGTATTATAGAATGACAACCATTGAATGCGTTTAATATAAGTCTGATTAAAACGTGATAAAGTTTACATTTCTTAGAAAATTGATTTTACATCATCTTAAATACCATGAGTTAGATATGCTTATGATCTTAATGATGAGAATAACAAACAATATTATTGGTAACATTGTTAACTAATCGATTAAATTTTGTTGTGCATAAAACTTTATAATAAATAGAAAAAAATATTACTAATTTAAGGATGAAAATATCAGTTGTCAAGATTAATTTCTTGATATATTAGTATGGTTTTGTTATAACACTTGGGGTTCTTTTTTTTACACAAATGGGACTTTAATTTACCTTAGATGAATAACTACATAAAATTTCTTCCCAGTGTCTATTCTACAGAATTTCAACACAACTCAGATCAAGAACATATGATTAACCTAATTAGAATGTAAATTTATTTTCACACCAAAAACCAACAATAATTCAACAGTGATTAAGAATCAGTCAATAGTAATAATAAGGACAGGAGAATATTTAACTCATCTAACACTTCGCAGATTGAAATCATGAGTCAATTGAAGCTAGACCACCATGGAAAACCTGAAAACACTGGACGGCCATTTTGTCCTAGTATGGGACTCCTCAGCAGTGCGCATCCACGATCCCGCACCCCGCGAGACTCGAGCCCAGGACCTATAAGTTTCGCGCCAGGAGCCTAACCAACTAGACCACTGAGCCGACATCCAACGGTGTTAATGTCTAACTTCAACCAATCCATCTAACACTTGTCAGACTATCTCCACATCTGACTAAGCAAACAACCAATCATTATCATTCTTGTCCACATATCAGATTTGAACTCTTATTTTATACATATCATAGGGTATAAGATTTTGGGATAATAGATTCCATTTTAATGTTCAAAACAAGTTTATGATATCTTTCATAGTCTAATGGTTGATAAAGATTTTTATTATTATTTTCCTTCACCTCAAGTTATGTCTTCTTTTATTATTTGAGTATTTGAACTTGGAATTTTCATATACTTTAATCTTTTAATATTTTATAACTCACATAGATTGATACTTGTTTTTACCATGATTTTATTTGAGCTTTGACTTATATGAAAAATGATGGATTACTTGTTCCTTTATCATGTTGTTTTTATTTTTTTTAAACACTACCTCGGTTAATATGTAGTGTCGGTTATTATGTTAAGCCCATATACCTTATTCTAGCTTTCGGACAGCCCATTATATTCATTCTACTTGAGTCACATTCTGACCTTGTTATTTATTCGCTTAACAATCTTGACTGTTGTTATATGAGCGCGTAGGTGTGTGTACATTTCTCACCCCATTACTCATCACATGTCTGTAACTTACTTTTGTGTAACTATAATTGCTGATCAATGCTTGGTTAAATGGGAGTTGGCTTACCAGCCATCTCCACTTTGCGTCGTTTCTCTTCTCTCTATTCCATTCGCTTCATATACAAAATATATGTATTCGAAAGTCCATTCTCGTTATTCGACTTATTTAATTCCTTTATTGACTAACGCGATTAAAGTCGATGATTATACACGAGGATAGGCGACATATATATTTCAACAACATTCATCATTACAATCTCATTGGAGTCAGATCTCGGGACACTAAAGTGGAGAGCCCATCAACAAACATCGTCCGATCTAAAGAGGACAAAATTACGGGGCCCACTAAAAATACCACATTTGTTATTATAAAATTTATTTTTATGTAATAGTCAGACAATCTACATTATAGTTAATATACATTTACAAGGTAAGTAAAGTATGAGAATAAACTAACTGAACAACGTATATAAGTGAATATAACTTTTGCTTTAGGGAAATTCTTATCTTTCAGATGTGGATTGTTTAATTTTTAATTACAAAGGATAAAATATTTTGAGTACAATTTAAACCTACAATCATTACCAAGGTTTGATTTGATAATTTCGAACAAATTGAGCATTGGGTAGATTGTTATAAATGAATAATATATTTGTAATATCCCATTGAGTAGAAAAATTTGATTTTCTGACATTTCGTAACCGATCTGGTTATTTATTCTCTGAAGAAGAGGCTTACACTAAGTCACAAAACGTCAGAAAATGTAATTTTCCTACTCATTTGGATATTACAAATATATTTTTCATTTATAAACGTACAATAGATTATGTAATTGTAAAGTGAATAGGTGATTGCATTTAAATTTGATGTTCGTTAAAACCTTTCCATAGAAAATTGTAGCATCCTAAAATCGTATATTTTATCGAATATTAAGTAAGTATTGTTCAATATTGAAATCAAAGATTATTATTACTTCATTATCTGAGGTATGATTATATTTACTTATCTGATTATGAAAAATAGGTAATTCACAGAATGTTATAAGCAAATAAACTTGATATAAATCGTTATGCAATCACCGTTGTGTTTATAAAATATGAAATCTATGTAACACTTGAAAAGAACATGATACTAAATTTACAAACATTGCACATTTGATATATTAAATGTCTTTGTAATTATCAGCAAATAAGGATACCCATTCAGTCTCATTTTCATAGGGTTAACACTATAGGATAATTAGTTTTAGATAACTTTATAACATTGATGTCGTATGACTTCTTTTTTAGTAACTAACGCATTTCAGAATAAGTAACATCACTTCATCTTCAAATGGTTTTTGTTTATACACAATGATCGAAATAGGTCAAATTTCCAAGTCAATATAACACTGATCAATGATTGGTTGTCACTGACGTCACTTGAGAAAAGCCATTCAAGGTCAAAATGATTTTCTAATTGGGTTGTGATAATAAATTATAATCAATGCCATATCCTTTATGTTTTTCAAAATCATTACGACTTTATTCCACATATATTTCTGTCTCACGTTTGATTGGACATTTTCTGTAACCTTGATGTAAAATCTTGTCACTCATTTGACTTCATAAATAACCAATAAAAGTTCTGGATTTCACCATAGAAAGTAAAAAAATCAAGTTGAAAATCAGTTGTGTTCAAATATAGAAATCAACAATTGGAAGTAATTTGTAACATCTTTCAAGGTAATCTATCAACTCTTTGTTACAGAAATATCTTCGTAAGTAAGTATTTTAAAGTTTGCTTAGATTTGAACTGGTAGGGTTTCTTAGTTATGGAAATACCCCATATAACTTATCTAACCGTTATGTGTTAAAAAATAATTAAGGCTAATTAATCCAAGCGAATTTCTCACGGATAGTAAAGATTTTGCCGTATACTAAGAAAGGGCTTTATTTTCTGTTACATCATTGTATAATAACCATTTTAATGCTGTATAGGTCTCAATATTGATTAAAGTATATTAAAACCATTTTATACAGTGGTATCAGTCTGAGATGTTATTTATCAGTTCATCACGCGATGATTTCTATTGAAGCTAAATTATGCAAATCAACTAGTCACTAGCTAATAAAATTTGTATCGTCTCAGTTTTCAGTTGTGAGTGCACCCGATAAATCAAGGAATGTAACTCTGAGAATAATATAAGTGATTGAAAATCGTGTCAACTGACTGTCAGTACTATTAAATGCAATATAATTCTTAATAGTGTGTATTGATATTTATACTGACAGAGTACGTAGTCAAATGTTTCAACTGTTCATATTAAACTGTGGTGGTTCAAAGCTTCCATGTCAGCATAGTACGAAGTTCTTCAGTTCAAACAATAATAAAATCTACAATAACCTAGAAATACTCGATTTGAATTTATTTAGAAATGTGAATGAATATGTGTAACAATACGAAGTTAATAGTAGCAAAAAATACTGAGTAAAGGACGATAAGCAATATTGTTATTATGGAAGAGATACTCTAACTAGGCTTTAAATCAATCGAAAAACCCATCATCATACAGATATGTACAATTTATTTTCGTATATGTAGAATCATGGTCTTCAATTCAGTATGTATCACGTTATTTCCTAACCCTAAACAAATTTATTCTAAAGAAAAATCATAAAAGTATTCTGGTCTCAGTTGGCAATTCTCTCAAAAATAAAAAAATTCAAGTCAAATATTTTGATCCTGACAAATCCATAGTGAGAAGTTTATACTAAAAACAGCATAATGTCCTAACTCATTCTTCTAAATACAATTTGTGACTTAGCACAGGGGTTTCGTCAGAGAATGGATGACTTTCTTCTAATAAATATGTCTGAACAGAAAAAGTGAACAAACCAGATCAAATAGAAAATATATATACGTGATCTAAGTATTCCATCGTGATGTCGATCAGATGCTAGGTAATGATATCTAAATCATGATTTTTGCTTATGTTTACGATGCAGTGGAGTGATTCAATTTGTACGTGTATTTATAGCAGGTTGTTGTACGATGCCAGGATTATTGTATTAGTCATTGTGCTAATTATTTTATTAGTTTGTTATCATAAGAGAGGTGCATGAAAGTCTTGGACGAAGGATGACTTTTCGCCTCACATTTGTACAGCTTATACTAGGTAATATTGTGTTTTAATTAGAACTTGTCTTTGTTCGCTGTTATAAATTGATGGTAATTACACGATCACAATGTAAACTCAACTGTTATAGTGGATGAATATTAGATATATGGTTATCTAACCGATTATCTGACTGAGTTTTTATAATAGAGTAATGGTTATGCATAAAAAGAAAATAACCGACAAAAGACTGTCGCATGAGCTTATTATTTCTAAACTCCAGCTCCCCGTAAGGTCTTTCAATCCCTATTTATTACACATCTTTTGTTGTCCTATAAATTGGAAAACCAACTCAGAAAGTTAGTTTTTGGTGTGGCCCTTCGTTTTAATGCCAAATTAAATCGGAAGATGATGCTATCGACTGACTCACCATTTTTACTGGCTCGATATCTGACTCCTTTTAAATAGTATTATGATCGTTATTGAAATATACATGACATCAATCCTCGTATAAAATTATCGACTTAAATCGCCTTAGTGAATAACGGAATCAGATAAGTGAAATACGAAAATGTATTACGAATACGTACATTTCATATAATCGTTGATCTAGACAGATGATCAAAGAAACGAAGCGAAGAACAGAGCGAGGCGAAACGGATTGGAGAAAGCAACTCGATTTAACCAAGCCTGACTTGACACTTATAGTCAGACAAAAAATAGAATGCAGAAATGTGCTGAGTAGGGTAAGGGATTAACACACATGTTCATATAAAAAGTCAGGGTTGATAAGTGAATAAGTGACAAGGTCAGAACGTAGCATGAGTATAATGGGTAAACTGATCTGTCTGGAAGCTAGAATAACTCATTTTGATTTGACATGGTACTAGACACTAAAAGTTGATAAGGTATTTTATTATTTTGTACCGTTTTAGTTTTTTTTGCTTTTGGAATGTGAAAGCCTTCAGAAACGCAGCAAAACTTGTAAAAATTGCCTACTTATCTAATGTTTCCTTGAAACCGAGTAGTTACAAATATCCGGTTAAACTTTTTCTTACTATTCATTTACTTATAGTTCCAGTCATTTAATCTGACACCAAATAAATCACGGTTTCACTGCTAATGATGTTTCCTATCCAGGTCTCCTTAAGAGCAAACACATTGAACAATATATTTAACATAATTCCTATCAAATCATATAACTTCATTATGTATATATATATATATAGTTTAAAATGTAAATCCTCTTTTGTAAATTTCAATAAAGCTATTCATTATTCGGTGGTTTATTATAACTTCATCGTGTAATTTAATCCTACTGTTTCTTACTTTGTATTTGCAACTACTGAATTTTATGGTACTGTGTTTTAATACTTTTCGCATAATTTTCCAGTAATCTAAAATTCATAACTCCTAGTCTAGTTTAATTTTCTGTATTCGACTTTCAGCTGTATTTCATGTGGGGGATTGTATATTAACTAGCCACCTAAATTGGAATAAAGAAAGAAGTTGAAATCTGTGAAACACATACTGAAAGCAGAATACTTTAGTCACTAGGCCTCTGATCTTCATTTTAAGTGTTTACTTTAAAATGACGATAAATTGGAAGCTGAACTGCGTCAATGATAAATGTATCGAATTGTTTGAAGTAGTTTTATATTAAGAACTTTAAACATAACTACGAGAATGTTCTTTTCTTTTTTAGTGTATATCTCTTAATCTGTTTTTCATATCTACCAATATGCCCCCGAATGCCCTGGTACGGCCGAGAGTGGGTAGAGTCCGCTTTCCCTCTCGAAATACTCTCACATGGCCACGCGTATATAGCCTCTGCCAGAGAAGTCCTACTCACTGCCTTCTCGTGGCGGGGGTGTTGTTTACGAAAATGAGAGGACGAAAAGCGAATGTCCGGCGCTGTAACCGGATTCCAAACCAATGGTGCACATGGGCTCCAGTATCCTGCGGGAACAAATGGCGTACGAACCAATTGTTGGTCACCGGCTTCCATGGGACTGCATCTCCTTACGATACTCCACTGCCTTGTGGATCAAACCTTCAGGTCGAAGGCTCGGGGAGTGGCCCCCTAAGAAAACCACCTTCTTCGGTTTGGGCACCCGGGCAGTATTACAGCCCTCACACATATCGAATGATATCTGTGTGGCGCATATGTATTTGTTGCCTTCTTGTACCAATATCTATGTATTAAAATAATAATAATAATAATCTACCAATATCAGATATATAGGTAAGCTAATTATATAAATATATAAGATGATGATAATACGTAAGTTTGAATCGTAGAATAACTCTCAAGGTCACGTGCTAGACAACTGTACTTGTAGAAATGAAACTCATAGCTCACATAACTGAACTGCAATATTATATACGATGAGTTAATAATCATTTATTTATATAAGAACCATAACTGATGTGAATTTAATATTTCATAATGGTATAAACTCTGTATATTTTAGAAATCGAAATATGGAACAAGGTTTACGATTCTGTTGGTATTTACTTCCGACTTTATTGGCATGGATAGTAAAATATGCAATTCGTCTAATTTTATTACCGATTTTCATCGTATTTATTCTTGGTTATGTTGTGAGATATTTCAAGAAAAAGTCTAAATTGCGCATTAAATTATTACGTAAAAGACAATCAATAACTCAAGGAATGGATCATCTGAAAGAACATCTTTCATCCTCGAAAAGCTCATCAAATATTGATTTACTATCAGTTACAGATCTGAATTTAGATACTATCCAAGAACGTTTAGTTGAAGGCAAATTTACATCAGTTGACTTATTACATGCCTATCAAATTAAAGCTTTACAATTATATGACTCAGGAAATTCAGGAATATGTGAATTTCTTGATGAAGCGGAGCAGTTGGCTGTTGACGTTGCTAAATGTAATCGCTTACCTAAAAGTAAACAAACGTTGGTTGGTATTCCTATCAGTTTAAAAGAATTATGTTCGACCAAGGGATATGATGTAACATTTGGTTTGATAGAACGATGTAATAAACCTTCACATGAAGATTGTTGCATATTGGAAGTACTTAGACATGAAGGAGCAATACCTTTTGTTCTGACAGCAACTTCTCAAACAGCTCTATCTCTGAGTGGAATAAATCCAGTATTTGGTGATATGTCTAATCCTCATTCATCAGAACATGAAACAGGCGGGAGTTCTAGCGGTGAAGGTGTGCTTCTAAGTTTACGGGGATCTCCAGTTGGAATCGGAACAGATTTGGCTGGAAGTATACGAATTCCTTCCGTGTTCTGCGGTCTTGTTGGCTTAAAACCAACAACTAACCGTATTAGTAGTAAAGGTGTGGGTGTGATCGGTCATAAAAAGTCAGTATTATTGAGAGTAAGTGTTGGACCAATGGGTAGACGAGTGGATGATCTAGCTAAATTAATGCGTACACTTTTAACAACGAAAATGTTTCAAATGGATCCATATGTGCCACCATTACTGTTTAATGATATGATCTACGCGGGTACAGATAAGCCGAAATTGACAATCGGATATTATGCGACTCTAGAGGATCCACTAATTATTACTAGCGTTCCAAGTGTTCGCAGAATAGTGAATGAATCAGTGGACATTCTAAGACAACGCGGTCATATATTGTTACCGTTTCATCCACCTGACATAAAATGGGCTTATGAATTAAGTATGAAGGCGATTTCTGTTGACACAAAATATAATCTTCAAGAGGCTTTGTTTGCAGAACCACTAAATGAACACACCAAATTTCTCCACCTTTTAATTAGCCTCCCACACTGGCTGAAAGTTATGATAGATAAATTATTGAATATTATCTTTGGTAGACCAGCTGCGGTTACAAGTTTCTTGGACGGTCCTAGGGGCGAAGCAAAAACATTAAATTTAATCTCAGATATTGAGTTGTATAGACATGAATTTCAAAGAGCTATGGAAGAAGCTTGTAATTTGGATGCAATCATTTGTCCAGTTTTCCCCTTCCCAGCATTTCCAAAGTCGGCTAAATCGATGTTTGTTACGCCAGCTATTGCTTATACAGTATTGTTTAACTTGTTAGATTATCCAGCTGGAACAGTCCCAATGGGATATGTGAGTAAGGAAGATGTACAAAACTCAAAAGTGATGGCTGAAGAATACAAGAAAGTTGGCAATCGATTTCTTTCTGAGGTATTCAAGTACCAGGAAACAAGTGAAGGCTTACCGGTTGGTGTACAAATTATTGGTAAACCATGGCAAGAAGAGCGTGTGCTATACGTTATGAAAGAACTGGAGACATCAAGAACACAGAATAATTAAAACCGTTATTCTAAACCTTATTTCTTCAGTTGACTTAGCTTGACCATATATTATCGCGTTGCTGTAAAATATTCATTACCGTTTAATCTACACAGAAGTATAATATTTTAATATGAAAAAAACTGAATTCGGCTTTCGAATTTTGAAATCTACCTACTTCTTTCATCGAAATATAAAAATTTCTAGATATTGTTTCATTTTTGTTCATGCAGTATTTTAAACAGATTCGTTGGAACAGTAGCAAATATTAGTTGAAATCGAAATGTGAATTCATTATTAACTAAAAAGTAGCAATTCATGTGCAATTTTCATTTTTTTTAAGTACTAGTTAGTTACAGTAATTGTTAAGCACAGAATCATACTCAGTATTCTTTATTACACTAATGTGATTTGAACTAGGAATCCTATAACTTTAATCTTATCTCCTTCAATATATTCTTGTTTATCATAATACTTGTGTCACATCTTGCTTTCAATTGTTCAAATCATTCCTAGAAGCCCTCATTTCAACTGCATCTTTTTGGTTAGTGAGTGTTTCAATTATTGTGTTATGTGGAAGTGCTATATATGTATAATATCCAATCCACTGATGGTGATCTACCTCGGTGACAAAAATATAGGCCTGATTTTCGATAAAAATGAGTTGTTTTGAGCAACAGCCGGACGTACATGTATATTAATATATCTTTTTAGTAGCGAAAGAAAATAAAGGAATCTAATCTAGCTAGAACTGGGAATTAAAGATGGTTAGTTTGCGTTATAACTCAATGGCTAATTTGACTCATCTGTATTTTATTGTCAACAATATTGGTTAGGTAAAGTGACCACAGTTTTCATGCTCATCATTCAGTTTTCAAAGAACGTCAAGTGTCTGACATGATATTCTAAAGCCGTAATAGATCGTGTTTTTAAGAAAACAAGAATATATGGAGTCACATAATGTTAAGCTCTCATTCGTTCATAGCCAAAAGGTGTTTCATGGAAGCTTACTAGGTGACAGTTTTTATTTAATATTTAACATTCACAAGAAATTTACACCCAATATAGTAAACCTTATTTCGCTTAACCTACATTTTGATGAATATTATTCATGATCGTATTTTCATTGGTTTAAGAAATTTGTAAACAAGAGGCTAAAACTTCGAGTGCAGTATTTGAATATTGACATAACGTTGAGGAACGATTACTAAATAATTCAAGAAAATATTTAAAATGTAAAGAAGTAGAGTTAATCTGGAAGGTTTGGTGGTGAGACTATAGTTTATGGACGACCTTTGAGCGATGCTTAAATGACCTTGAGAGTGTAGAACAACTCACTATGGTTAAATGGGTGTTATAAATTAGTTTGAGGAATTAGGATTAGGATTTACAGTCGGATTTTAGGATTATTAATAAAAGTTAGGGTTTTCATCACGAATCGACATCGGCTGAAATCCGAAAATGCCATTTAGCCATTTTGGTTAGCGTTTTTTTAGCGAGTTAGTTTTCTACGGGATGGGATCGCTAACCCCATGTCAAGCCCTCCTCCTTTATCCGGGCTTGGGACCGGCAGTAGCCCCCGGGGGGAATCCAGGAGGAGTTATTTAGCCATTTTGGGTAAGTGAATTTCACGCCAAAATCCAAGACGTGTTATTTTAAATCTGGTTCTTCCATATATCGTAGTCTCGTAGATTTCGTGTATTTATAGGATCTATTTTGAACAATGTAATTGCATACTCTTACGTCAGTTGACTTAGAATGAAATCTAAATGGGGGTAGCCAAATAAATATTTGAATGAATGGTAAAAAAATAATAAATGAAAACTTAAGAAGGCAGTGGCACAATATGGAGGGAATGAGAAGTTCTTGGATCACCTATAGAATGGAAAATAAACAAACAACTACCAGAGCGGGATCAAAGTTAAAATAAACTTTTTTGTCCATGTTTTGTTTTATAAGGATTTAGATACCTTGTTACTCATTTTACTGGTTTATATGTATGTGAACAGCACACAGATACTGTTTGTCTTAATGGGTGATATTGGGTCTATAGGTTTTTAATATTACATGTATTATATATGAAGTTTAGAATCATTGTTCGTCCAAGTGTTAGACTCGTCTTTCTCAGTACCGTCCATTTTAAGGAATTGTTAGAGAATGAAGGTTATTTTCTAGTTGAGTTTTCTACTATCATTTTAATTAACTTTCAACAGCGTGAACGGTAAAACATTTTCTTTATGATCGGTTTTATCCATAACAGCAATGCTTAAACCTTTATCATATGGGAGAATAGCGAAAATAACCTGGATACTAAACACTGTTATGACTTGATTTGAAACTATGGTTGATATTGTTAGCAAGGTTCCAGTTGGAGCTGAAAAACATAGGATGAGTCTATCGTTGTTTGGATAAAGAATCTGTTTTAAATCTTCTTTCTGCAAACTGCTTTATTTTTGCGTACTACATAGGTTGGTTATTCATAGGTGCACTACAAATTACTCTGAATCGAAGCAAACTAACAAGCGTCATCAAATCTCCAAAACAACTTTGCCCCGATGATATTAGAAAAATGGAGAAGTACAATGTTGAACGAGTATATGTAGGAGCATTATTCTACAGGTGTTTGAATGCCTGGTATCATGAAGAATGTGTACTTTTTTAGTCTATCAGTTGAATGATAATGCACTTCCTTCTTGCTCTTAATGATACACTGTTTTGATAGTGTAGTTATTCTTACCAGTTTTGTCAGTTATGTAAAATATACTTTCCAATAAACCTTCGTGTACTTACTTTATGTTAGCAGACTGTAGATATACTAGTAGTATCTGGGTTATTGAGTGTTGCTAAGTACTACTGAATGACACCATTTTGGAGCCACATCAAATCAAGAAATTTCCCAATACATTTTAAACTGTTTGTCAACAATTTATAAAACTAGTCTAAAGTTCACTTCTTGCAACTATTCTCTTTTTATTTAAGAAGTTATCATAACTTAAAAATCAAAGAACATAACTCATTGTCACTCTGAAAATGCTTATCATCCATTCTTTTACTTTCTTTTGTTTCATTTGATTGGCCTACCTGACTTAAAAGATAGTACGTTGAAGAAATCATATCTGATTACTTGTTTGAATTTTATTTGGCAAATACATCATGTCTTTTTAGTTAATCTTGCTTTTCTCGTTATATTCTAATGATTTATAAATGGGATTAGTCTAAATTAAGGCTAATTGAATCATGGCCTCCACTTGTACCTGATGTTTTGTGTAAATTAAATTATATTACTTACCAATAATCAGTATGTATTGTAAACTTGCAATCATTTTAGTGAATAGGATACAAAGTCTCTGTTAACCCGCAAGCAAATAAATTTTCAGTCATAACTAACCGTACCACAGATTACGGTAAACTAGACATGTACTCTAAAAAATTTTATACAAGGTATAATTATTTCTAAACAGAAAAAGCCTAGTGATAGAGATAATTTATTAGTTATTGATTCAGTTTCAAAAGTCCAACTAAGATTATTTCAAAGGAAAATAGGAAGCTAAGTTAGATTTTTAACGAATAATAGTTGAAGTACTTAAAGTATAATCTTTATCCGAAAGCAAATCTAGCTTAAACCGTGTTGTTGATAAAGAACTATTTAAATTAGAGAATGCCAATAATGCCCATGATGTTAAACTAAATTTTTAATTATCTGATGATAGTGTAACGATCGACAACTCGGGTACGGATAACTAATATATCGTCTTATGTAAAATTATACAGGGAGTTGGTAAAATGCTTAAATTATTTATCAAATACATCATTTACATATTTCCCTTCAGTTGTCTTTTACACTATCATTCTCTCAATCCTGTTTTTATTCTGATTGCTCTTCGTTTTTCTGTTTATTCTCTTTACTATACTTTCCTGCTGGTGAGTATTCTACTTCCAATTCCTGCTATATACTGCCTATGTCTGTCCGCATACATGGTACACATCACAATTGTAATTTTAAACCTTCAACTGAATTCGACTCAGAAATAGAAGCAGATCAAACTGATATTTATTGATAAAGTCTCGTCGAATTACATGTACCTTTGTCTCCTGAATATGGAGCTCTTATGGACTGTTTTAGTAGATAACCTTTGATTAATTTTTTAACATTAGGTCAACATCGAGTAAAAGGCAAGAATGTAGTGTAATTGAGTTGTTTAATGAGAAAGCTAATTTTAGCATTATTGTTTCGCCCATCGGAGCTGATGAGCCAGTAATTGGCGTTGCGAAGTCACATCTTACTAAAGAGGTAATGTTCCCGTTACATATACGCAATATTTCTGTTGAACTTTTATGTAGATATTTAAAATTATGACCTGGTATTAAAGATAAACGGATTCCGACCCTTATAGAAAAGGTAACGTTTTATGACGTTATAAGTTTACTTTCATGTATCGAATTCAAAACGTCTGAGATTTGCCAAAGCTATGGGCAAACGTCTAAAATCAGACCTGTGAGTTTGAAAAGAAACAGTAATAAATCTTCCTTTATCCTGGCAACATTACATGATTTATATTGCATAATTCATTGATTCAACTCTTTCTCAAGTTTTGATTACATCACTGTCGTTTTCTCTAGTTCATAATTTTCATCCGTATTGGCTGACTTCGACTCATGTCTTTCTTCATCACCATTAGTTAGCTTTCAGTTACTTCATTACACAATCATCTAATGGTTGTTTGTTCTATGATGTTTATCTTTAATCACCTTAGTATTTATAAGTGACATTATCTATGATAATTTTGACTTTAAAGTACTATAGGTTGCAAGCAGCTGATGAGAATCCGGAGAACAAATTAGTTCGTATTATCTTTGTTTTTGCTCTCTTCAAGATAATAAAGGGAACTATGTGTATGAAACTTCTGTTATTGATAACCTGTAATTGATTCTATACATTTTTCATTTTCTGTATAATTTTATTTTCTAGATGATTGCTCACTTTTAAAGCATACTGAATTGACCCATCCTTTTTCTTTCGATAGGATATTGTTTCTTCCAATATTTCTTCTAATCACTAACTATATTCTGAAGTACTTGATGATGCTTCTGACTATGTTAGTTATGAAAGCACTAGGAACAACAAGATTCTATCACCCGCTTAAATGTGTTCATATATTTATTCATGACAGAAAAACGGCACACAAGAAATTGAAAGTTCTCATAATATCGGTAAAGTTAAGTCAATGACTTGAAAGCAACAGAAACGAATGGATGTTACTCATTACGACATGAAACGAAATGTTCAGATGCATGTCAATTTTTACAAAATTTAGGGGAATATGGGTAGTGCTTTGATATGTTTGTTGCTACAGATGCTCGCGTTGTTAGGATAAGAATCAAAACTGACTTTGAAATGTTACAGTTAACATACATAGAAAGCGTGCGTTATAGAACGCAATCTTCTCATGCATTTATTTTCTTTACCAGGTTTTATTTAACACAGAACGTGGTTTAGAGACATTCAACGCTCTATCCATACCGCGAAGTGAAGGATGGTAGGTTTATCGTACATAATGCATAATTATTATAAATGCATTATATTCACATTAAGTTAACTTGAGTTTCACGTTTTGTGTTTGCCAAAAATCATGGAATACTTCAGCTGCCATACGGGAATT